AACTAAAAGTAACACAAAGGTCAGCAGAATGAGGTGAAACTCCTTTTTCTAACCTATCAAATGAAAGAATCAATCCTGAGTATAAGAATTAACACAATCATTTTCCAAGAACCTTTCACTATAAACTTGAGCAATTTTCAAATACTAAACAAAACATTTTCTTTCACATATTTTCGATGTGAAAATATCTGCTAGTTGATTCTGATAAACTAGCAGATATTACAATGTCACAATGAATTAGTCACTAACTAAAATTATTAATTCTAAAACTATGATTAGACCAGAGGTTCCCAAACTCTGGGGCGCGCCCCCTAGGGGCGATGAAAAAAAAACATGATCGCTGTATGCGCTGGGTTTTTACCTTAGAATGGCCAACTCTCTGTTATTCCTCTGTCAGTTTGATACAGTCGGGGCTTCCACACTCCCATATCTGTGTCCTCTGTTACTTTTATCAGCAGTTAAAACTGTTGAATCCGTTGTTAACATGTGGTAACCTGTTTTTCCGAGCCGATTTTAAACGCAACATGAGCGCTACGACGCTCGCGCTGGGTTTCCACCTGTGGGCATGAAGGAGACCTGCTGCTGCTGGGCGGAGCTACAGGTGTGTTAGAATCACGGCAGCAAACCAGCAAAACGCAAAGAACTTTTCACAGTTTTCCCCCCAAACTAACCGACTGTTGAGTGAAGCTGTTGGATGAATGTAAAGTTAGCTAAAGGATGACTTTAGCTAACTTTACCTAGTTAGCTAAAGGTAAAGTTAGCTAAAGAATGACTTTAGCTAACTTTACCTAGTTAGCTAAAGTTAGCTAAAGGATGACTTTAGCTAACTTTACCTAGTTAGCTAAAGGTAAAGTTAGCTAAAGTCATCCTTTAGCTAACTTTACCTAGTTAGCTAAAGGTAAAGTTAGCTAAAGGATGACTAGCTAATATTAATACAGAACCTTAAGCTTGTTAACAAGTAGCCTGTAGGCTACCGATGTCTATGTTCAGCTACATACATTCATTTTGCCCCCATAAGAAGTAGAAACCTCCCACACACACCTATTTGCAAACCATAGGGGGGCAGGAGAAAAAGTTAGGGAACCACTGGATTAGACTATTTTCAACAGAGCATGCTGTTAATAACTAAGAAAAATGTCTTATGATAGCGGTTTTAGATATTCTATGTTGTATTCAGTTTTTTTCACCAGTCTTCACCATCCCAGATGCTAGTTTGGAAAACTTTTATGTCCTTCTGTGAACAGAGCTAACTTCTCTCCTGCTCATCCAAGTGAAGCTGCCTTCTTGCAGATGCTAATTTTATGGCCTCTGATAACCAAACACTAAAAGCTCCCTTCAGATCTCTATCATTCCTCCTGTAAGTTGAGAACTTACCCATCAATAGTTTTAGATTAAATCATTAAGACAAACCTACTCTAAATTAAGAATTTTGTTCAAAATAACCATGCTCAATACACCTGTTTCACATGTTGTATGATTAACTGTATTAAACACTAAAAATATTCAATTTTCCTCAACAATTCTCAGACACTTTGACAATTTTTAGAAATTCTATTTATTTTGCCAAACTGATGGCTTGTTGTCAGTTGTGGTTCTGGAGCAGCTCAGAACCGTCCTTGTTGTCTCATGGGGACCTGTAGGTCTTGGACATGTTCGTCTCCAACAGCTGAACCAAATGTGTGGCTCGTCTAGAGGCTTCAGCTGAAGACGGCTTTTGTTTGTTTGATCCGGCTGTTGGAGCGCTGACATCTTCAGGGACAATCAATCAACTGAGACAGATGAACAGGTGTACCTGAGGTTGGTCATGTCCTCCATCAGGGATGGGATGTCCCTCAGCCTGTTGCTGCTGAGGACCAGCGTGTCCAATCTGGACATCCTGCTGATGTTCTCTGGCAGGATCTGCAGCTCATTCCTCTGCAGCCACAGCGTCTGCAGCATCTGCATCCTGAGGACAGACACGTCCCATTGGTCCACTGGTCCACATGGGGGCGGAGGGCAGGTGTGTGGATACCTGTGGATGTCGTCAGGCAGCTGCTGCAGGCGGTTGCCCCCCATGTCGAGCCACTGCAGCGCCGGCAGGGCAACGACACAATCTGGCAGGGAGACGAAGTCATTCATGGACAGATCCAGGTGCTGCAGCCGCACCAAGTTCCTCAGCTGGAGACCGACAGAGATGGGTCAACTGGACCGGACCCAGACTGGACTGGTACCTGGTCCGGGACCTGGAATGGTACCTGGTCTGGGAGCTCCTTCAGGTCCCGGTTCATGGCCAGCTCCAACCTCTCCAGACTCTCACAGCCACCGAGTTCTTCAGGAACGACTCGGATCCGGTTGTAGCTCAGCAGCAGCTCTCTGAGCCGGGTCAGCTTCCCTGAGACGAGAACCGGGTCACGACAGCTGTTCAGAGGCCGGGGCTGGATAGACCCAGAATGGGTCAACTGGGCCCAGTCGGTGCTCACCGATCTGCTGCGGAATCTCGGTGATGGCGTTCCGGGATAGGTCCAGAACCAAGAGATTCTGGAAGCTGCAGATGAATGGCGGAACCTTCAGCAGGCCGGTTCTGTGGATCTGCCACTCCTGGACCTGGACGAACCGAACCAGACACGCCGGCAGGTTCTGAGACAAACACATACGGGTCAACAGGACGTTCTGGACCAGCAAACTGGGACGGTCCCTGGGCGGTACCTTCCACTCCTCTTGTTCTATCCGGAGAACCAGCCGTCCATCTTCTGTCTGCAGCTTCTCCCTGAGGCGGGCCAGAACCGCCCGGTCCTCCCAGACCCGGACGCTCAGCCTGGCCCAGAACGGGTCGCAGCAGTTAGATCCTGGTTCTGAAGAACCTCTGATCTCAGTTTGGTTCTGAACACCATTCTCCTGGTCCGGCCCGATCTAGTTCTTATGCAGACGAGCTTATGAACTGGAACCAGTATGTGGAGCCATACTGGTCCCAGTTCAGGCAGATTCTGAACACAAACAGGACTCAGAGCTGAAGACTTCATAACTCTGTTACCATGACAACCACCTGACGTTGCTCGCTGGGTGTGAATGACCGGGATTAAACCAATGATAATATCAACCAATAGGAATGAGTGGGCGGGGTCTAACCTGCCTGTGGCCCCGCCCCTGGACGGTCTCCTCCTCTCCTCCTCCTCCTCTCTCCGTCTCTGGATCCGCGTCTCCCACAGAGCTTTGATGGAGCTCACCGAGCCACACGCCACCACGCCCACCATGATGTCACGGCGCGCAGGACGACCTCTGACCTCTGGACGTGTTCCTCAACCTCTGCTGAGGACGCAGGAGGACAGTATGTGACGTAACATCGATGTGCGCATGTGCATTACCATAAGGCAGGGGCGCGGTTAAGGGGTGAAAAGTGATGACGATTCTAGGGGCCCTGACCAGCAGGGGGCCCTCCACAATTTAATTACTTATATTTTGTTCATAGAAATAAAATAAAATAAAAATTGGGGTCCTGTCAAATACAAAATTAATCATATTGTATTTTCAAAGATTTTTTTTAGGAGTAAAAATTTAATGTTGCCCCTCCCAGACCAAAAAACACACATCCATTTTTGCCCTGAACCCCCCTATCTGCGTTAAATGGTTCGTTCCTGCTTGGAGCTTAACAGTGACTTATGGAGCTACAGTCAGTAGAAGCTGCAGCTGAATGCAGCGGCGACTGTGGCGGTTACTATGCTGCTAGGAAAAGTTATAAAATCAGGTTTTCAAAAACAAAAGGGAGAGGGAGAGAGAGAAAAAGGCAAGAGTGTAATTTATAACCCAGTTTTTCTCCAAGAGAGGTGAGTAGACTGTGTGAAATTATCAACCATTTAGCATAATTAGCTTAGCTACAAACTACTGTTTGCCTCCTTTTCACTAGCATTTAATGAATTAAGGAAAACAATTACCAACATATTCATATATTTAACTTGTTCCCTGTACCTTTTACCACTTACCAACAGACGAGTCAGTCAGCAGCAGCTCTAACCCACATCCCTCCTGACCCGTCCCCTCCTGAGTGAAATTAAAGCTGCAGTAACTTTTACATAAATATTTTTTTCACATATTTGTTAAAACTGTCATTATGTCCTGACAGTATGGTATGAGAGGTAATCTGTGAAAAATCTATTTCCTCTGCCTTCTCCCATGGTTCTCTAGAAACAACCAGTCAGTGGAAGGAGAGTTTTAGTGCTGTCAATCACAATCTCATGTGATGCTGCTCATTCTTCCTCCCCCTTGATTTGTGCTGTGCTGCAGCTAGCATAGCACAGAGCTGTGCAGATTCAAACTGTGAATGCTCAGTCTAGTTAGCATAGCTACCAATGACGGCAGACAAATGGTTTCTTGTAATAATTGTTTCTCCACCATTAGCACATTTAGCAGTGAGTGAATGAACAGAGCTAAGAGCGTCCTAGTGGTTCTGATTGGTTGTTTTGGTCAGAACGGTGCATTACTTTAACCAGTAATAGTAATTCAGGAAGGAGATGGAGGAGATTGATTGTTTTCACAGATTATCTGTCTCATAAACTGTCACGATATGATGACAGCTTTAACAAATATGGAGAAAAAAATTTTTTTAATTAAAGTTACATACTGCAGCTTGCATAAAATGCAACTACATAGCATTTTTTGAGAAGTCTGGATTGCTTTATGTGTATTTAGCATGTTGCTTTTGACTGTTGCTCATGGGGAGACATTTCAGTATCTAATAGAAAAAGTTTAAGCAGCCTACTTACATACTGCATGTGGACTGTTGGATGTTAAATTCATGAACTGTAAATATTGTGCTAGTATCAGTATTGGACCACAAGCCTTTAAAATTGTGACGCTTTTCATGGGTCAAATAGACTCAAAACATTGTAACAGCAGCTGTGCGGGGGGCCCAAACTATTTTTTTGTCAGAGGGCCCAAGATTCCTGGCGGCCATAAGGTATGCTGGATTTACAGGTATGGCAGATAGTCAGAACACCTGTTTGGGAGTTTAAACTCCCTTTTGGTGCTTAGGGTTATGTCGAGTTTAAATACTGTGATGAGTGAACCTGAAACGGAAAATCAGCAAGAATCTCTGAACGGGCTGAGCACAGATACAACTACGTTGATGCAGGGCTGGACCAAGGGATAAGCAAACTAAGCAGCTGCTTAGGGCCCCAAGGCCACTAAGGGCCTTAAGTTAGCAAAACAATGTCTCACAAAAGGACTTATCCTTCAGGGAGGGAGAAAAGAAGGAGGAATAATATAAAAAAGCCAAGATAAAGGTTTGTTTTAATGAGCCGTGGTGATGTAATGTGAAACTGAGTTTAAAATTTAAATGAGTTGATTCTTATGGTGGTTTTGTATATTTCTGAGGTAGTTTTGGCTTCAAAACGCCGAGTTTGATAAGGTTTGATAACAATAATTAAAACTTCTCACTGTCTGACATTGTCTAGCTAAATGTTTCTACGTCAGGCTACATGGATGAGCTGCTCTGTGCTGTAGTTGGGATTTGCTGTTTGCTGCTGATCAGAAGCATTTTGTGGCTAAAACAAACATTATTTTTCTAAGTTAAGTAAAACTTCTATTAAAATCATTTGAAGGCCCAGAATCAGTCCAGTACCGGTACCGGTCCAGATTCTCGAGGGAGAAAGACTCACCTGGTATAAATTACATGTTTAGCTGTTGGAGTTACACTTTAGATAAATGAATTTAATCACAGAATGACATGCATGTGTGTAGCGCTGCACCGACTGCAGTTTTCTGGCCGATCCCTGGTTACCGATCTTTAAAAAGCCTGAGCTGCTGATTTTGGTTTTGGCTGATATGAAGTTTTTTGTCTGAAATGTTGCTAAATGTAGCAAGAAAGTCGCTGAGTTTCCACAGTGGGTGAATATTGTTAACTGTAAAGGTTCAGACCTGTTGGTCTGCCAGTCAAACCTGTCACTGCAGAGCAGAAGAGGACAGAGGCTGAGTCATAACCTTTGCTGATGAAGATCAGCTTCACATGTAAGTATTGGCCGATTACGATTCCCCAAAATTAAGGAAATCGGCTCCCAGAAATCGACTGGTTGATAAACCAGTTGGCCAATAAATGTGTCGTATATTATACATGTATATAATGTAAACATCCAGAGATGCAATCAGCTTATAGCAGGTGTGTGAATGACCTGATGATCGGACTGCTGACTGCAGCCGGTCCACACGGTTAGCAGAACTAGAGGGCCCCAAAACCAGATTAGGCTGGGGCCCCATGGAGGCTGGGGCCCCATGGAGGCTGGGGCCGGTTTTCTGCACCGACGCCTCATTGGACTTCTACGTTGTCGCCGCCATTTTGAATGTGGCCGTAGAGCGATGGGAGCTCCATACTTCATGTGCTGCGTAGACTTGTTTCAATCGTTTTACAGTGAACACTGGACCCATTAGCATTTAATTTCACAGGTAAGAATGAGAGAAAATAATAACGTAATTTTATGAGCAGAATTTCTTGACTTTATAGCTATAATCTAATCTAGCTTCTACACAACCAAGAAATATTTCCCCCCTAAATAACTGGGCCAAAGGAACCACTCTGGTTATAATTTTGTTAGCTAACTTTCATACTCTGTAGTTTTTCTAATGAGAGTGAACTGGTGAGAAACTGCTGGTTCCATGTTGTAAAGATGCTGCAAGTCAATCCCCCAATATGTTAAAAATGTATGTTTTTTCAAAATGTGAAGGAATCAGGATGTAATTTTCTGTTACACTGTTAGATAATTAGTCTTTTGTCTTTGGCTTTAGCAACCAGGACGTCACTGGACTGCTCCCAGTTTGACCAGCAGCCTGTGTCCGGTGTTGGCAGTATAAATAAATCTGTATTTTAATGTACACCTTTTTTCTTTTTGTGTGTTTTTATGTTCATGAAAACACTCCAGTGCATCTTCATTAATGTCAATATAAAAAGGATTGATCAGAATCAGCTGTATAAAATATAAACAGTGTCTTTAAACAATTAATCACATCAAAAAGTTAAAAATGTTGTCTTTAGTACTTTCTTTAATTCCCAAATATATTGAGGTGTGACAGAATGTGTTAATGAGCATTACCTTAAAATACTTTGTACAACGATGCTTTATAAAGTTCAGTCCATTTACACTGAACAAACATATAAAGCCCCGAGTCAAATATAAGAGTTTTATGAACATTTGGGATACACAATATATAGAGAAACTCAAACTATATTTTCAGTAATTACTGATCTTCATATCGGCATTGATATCATTGTGGTTCGGCCGTTTGTAGCGGATTGACAGTCATGATCGGGGTCAGGATGAGGAGTCTGATTCTGACCCAGTCGGCTTCCCGTAGCGGTCACAGACAGTCTGATGCGTCTGTTGTTCAGACCGATCAGCTGTGTGTCGCTGGTCTGAGCCGATCCTCCGATGGACGATCTGGAGTCGGTCAGACGAGGATGAGGAGGATCTGCAGAAACCAGCTCTGAAACGGCCGGCGGTCCGATACCAGAGCTGCTGCTCTGCTGGACGTCCTGCATCCAACACGCCAACGGCTCCACAGAACATCTGAGGCTTTATGACTGGAGACATCATGTGACGTGTTGGGGCCTTTTATTGTCCAATTGTTTTCATCTACCCAGTGGACATGTCCCACAATGCACTGAGTAAATAACTCACTGAGTGATGCTCACTGACAGCAAGCTGAATTAAATGTTATACACAAACCAAGATAAATATTTCTTTGGTACAATAAAATGTCAGCAAATGCTCATTTACAGTTGTTACCTCCACATGGCAACAATATCTGACATGGGCCTTTATATTTTTGTTCAGTACACTTGTACTAGCTTACTGGCACATAGATCACATTCAATATGGCAGATGTTGTGACGTATAGCAGCAACGAGCCAGTCGCTCAATGAGGCGTCTACGTATTCATGTCTATGGGGCTGAGAACTAGGCTGCAGGATTCTCCCACTGCTCCCAGTCCAGTCCCAAATCAGAGATTTATTGAGCTACTGAGAATGACAGAGGAGACAGAAGCTCCTGTCTCAGTGAAGGGATGACCCTGTTGCTAGGGCTGACAGTGATTGGTTGCAAGGCGGAACCAATCCCTCCCAGCAATCAGCTGATCATTGAATCTGGATTCAGAAACTGAGTCTTGTTGATGAAACTAAAATTAAATATGTTTGATCGGCTCATTTGCTTCCTCATCATATAGACACGTTACTGACATTGCATCATGCTAGAAGTCACTGCTAATTGCTGCTGGCTAGTGTGAAGGAATTGAGTGGGGCGGAGCTGCGTCTTGAAGGCGGGGCTAGGTCCACCCAGGTGTTTAACAACTGGGAGGTTGAATCAACGCAACTCTTAAAAAGATGAAGGAAAGGTTTTACGTGATTCTGGCCCTTTAACAACCACAAACTGCTGGAAATGTGAGCAGCTAAGCTTCTGTGACCCAGTTTTAAACTGGACCTCCGGTACCAGGAGGCTGTTTTATCTGGATCTCTGAAGAACCAGAGACCGGTTGGCCAGTTCTGGAACCAGACTGTTAGTAAAATTCTGATTCTCACCTTGGAGCTCTGCCGCCGTCCTTCATGCTGCAACCCGACCTCCGATCTGTTGGCCAAGAATAGTGCGGGTCACGTGACCCGGCAGTCTGGTTCACGTGACCCGGCTGCCGTGTGACCCGAAAGGATCTGACTGCAGCTGCTTCCTGTAGGAATGTGTTCAAGACTGTGTCTGTGTAAGACTGGTGTCTCCTTGTTGTTGGACCAGAACCGTATTGGACCAGAACCAGACAGGAAGTGTTTTCAGCAGCTTTATTGAGATCTTCCCACTAAACATAGAAAAGGTTTACATGACTGTGACCGGAGCAGGACCCTGGAGCCGCCAGCAGGGCGGCGACACCGACCACCCCATCATCAGGAGACGCTCTGGTTCTGAACCGGCCCGGCTCCCGACCCGTTGAGCCAAACCAGGTCCGACTGCGGCCCTCCAGAGCCACCGGGCCAGACGTTGCAGCTGACCTTTGACCCGGGGCAGTGCCAAAGACACGCGGGACATGAAGGACCGACATGGGACGCCACCCGTAACCACGGTTACGCGGCGCCCAGTAGCTCCAGTGCTACAGGAGGAGGGGCGGAGCCTGAAAGGTCAGCTGGTCACAACCTGTGGTTGTGAGGAACCTGCCGGATGGTTCTGGATCTCCCGGCGTCTACTTGGTTGTCATGGTAACCGCCCCCCAGGGTCCTGCTCAAAGGCAACAAGGAAGCTACGGAGCGACAGGAAGGCCTCAGACACAAACAGGAAGTGAAGGCGTGGGATGGGCGGGGCCGTGGGCCCGAGGGGCCGGCCTCCCCGGGGCTCATGGTACAAGTGTCTATTTCAGGTCCAGAACCATGCTGGCCGGGTTCTCCAGGTACTCCCGCCACAGGTTGGAGAAGCGACACATGGTGGCGCCGTCGATGAGGCGGTGATCCGCCGACCAGCTCACCTTCATGATGTGGGCCGCCTTCACCTGACCGTCTGGGCCGAACCGCGGCAGAACCTGGAAGGAAACACCAGTTAATCCTAGAGAACCAATCAGAATCCCCCCTGGATGGATCCTCACTCTGATTGGCCGATCAGGAACACCTGGTCTCACCTGGCTGGTAGGATCAGATCATTCACCGTTTTAT